ACTGCAGACACACTGACCGGCCCTGCAGGACCAGGACTGGACACTTGGTGATTTCAGTGCAATCGTTCAGCCTTTCCACCCATCCTCTCTCCTCTTTCCTGTTCTTTGGGGTCTATCGTTGCCTCCCTGCTATTCCTGGAGTGCAGGGGTGGCAGCCGGGGCGTCTGTGTGGAGGAATGCCGAGGGGCGGAATGCTGGGGCATTGCTCAGGGAATGTCAGCCCGTGACCCTTGACCTTTGCACCTATGTCCTAAAAGGGACGCCTCGATGCGTGGCTTGCGCCCGCAGCCTCGGCTCTGCGAGGAATGCCGTCTTCAGCAAACATATACATCTTCCTGGGAGACGTCTGTCAAACAGCACATCTGTGGTCAGGCACGGCGGCTGTTTACTCACTGGGCAACGCAAATTGGGGTTTTTAAGTCACACAGCGCGGTGGGACCTCCATGTGCCTTAAGGATGTGGTCAGGCTAGGCTGAAGTAAAATCCAGGGCATCTCCAGACATCAAGGTTTCCTTGAACATCCGAAAAGGTCAGATACCAAGGAAAGAGGGATGTTGAAGAGTTAACAGCAGCTCACCTGGAGAGCTTTGGGCTCCCCTCTCAGGATTGTGAACACCAGAAACAATCTGTGACTCTACAAAGTCTTTTTTTCTACAGAAAATCCCCTGCATCTTCTCTTTCTCCCTCTGAACAGTGTGCTGGAAGAGCAGAGTCCTCTCTCTCTCTCTTGCTGTGAAACACTGTTCTGTTCTTTTCTGAGTAAATAACATGCCTTTAAAAGGCCAGTCCTCCCTCCTCTATCCCTCTCTCTCACGAGTAATTAAAACTCTCTCTTCTGTATGATTAAGACTCTCTATCTCTTCCTCTCATGGGTGATTAAAGCTTGCTTGCTCCCCGTCTATCCCTCTCTCTCTCACGATTAAACTCCCTCTCTCTCTCTCTGCGGTGCCACGTTGCCTGTGGTTCACAGTGACATACTGACACACTCTCCAGTCACACACACCTCTCAGCTGGGCATGGCTGCTCTGCTGCTCTCTGTCGGCCCTGCTATCTGATCTCATCCTTCACACACACACTCAGCAACCAGAAACTCTTCACCCTCTTTTCTCAATGGCTTTTTTGTACCCTGGACGGAGCCTGTATGAATACAGTTCAGACTGGTGCTGTGGCAATCTGCAAAGAACAGCCTGTATGAATACAGTTCA